ATGCCGAGGGCTAGAAAGTTAACTTAATTGTCCAATAACACACAACTAACAATTGCAGGGTTGGGACCTGAGCCAGAATCTCTTGACTTCGAGCCGAAGGCTCATACCTTCATGGAAAATCTCTCTTCCTGGCAAACTTTTGATTTAGAAACTTCCATTATCAAGAGCAATATAAATTTGCTTTAGCAGTATCAGTACATTTATTCCTGAAATCTGGACCCCAGAAACATTCACAAGTTATCTTCCCAGTTGCCTGCGCAACACACACTTCTTTTTGGTTTAAGAAGTCAATCTGAGAAGTTTTTCTCAAGTATCTGAGTCACTGCCACAAATATTTGCAAGATTAGATACAGTTTATATAAACAGTTAAATAATTTTCATGGTAACAGCCCATTCTGTTAGACTACTGCTTTTTCCTATATTCTGTAATGTTATTTAATCTCTTGTCAGAGACATCAACTATCTCATCCATTGATTCCACTGGATTGTACAAAACCGGCAGAATCAGAAACACAGAGACACTCCTAACTGCCCGTGAATACACTTAAATAACTCAAATATTTGAAATTGCAAAGAGAAAAAAAGCCTTTTAAACAAAAACTAAAATTGGTAAAAACATATCTTTAAACAAAGTAGCATCTGTAGCTATAAAAAAATTTTTAATGAATCTTGGGGAAAATATATGTCACACAAAAAGTCTCCACCAAATGGTCTCCCAATAATCACATCCAAAAGGAAAAACAAGCCCAGTGTTACTCTACAAGGTGAGAGCTCAAAGTTAAAGAAACAATATTAACCAGAAAATATTATAGACAAAAAATAACACTTCTTTTCATACTGAAAGCTTCACTTAACACAAAAACCAAGGAGGCATACAATGGAATGGGAACAAATGATTAAGAGAAATTTTATATGAATGTCCTTTAAAAAGTGAATTCTAGAATATAAAAGCCCTTACAAAGAACTCAAAGAAGATGTTGTTGTCCACATACTGGTACTCAAAGAAAACATAACCTGACTTCTTGAGGTGCACAGCGTAGATCAAGGATACCGTGCAGTCATCACGATTGGACTCTATGTAATTTCCACGAGGGACCCAGGAAGAGCTGTGGAAACAAAACCATTTCATGTCAGCATTCAGAAACCCCTTTTTTCACAAGTTCTGTGACTGAGATTTAAAAGCGGTTCCATCGACAAAGCACAGCAGAGGAGTCTGAAGCTCATGTGGAACTCACACGCCAACACCATTGCTGGAAAAAGGTTCATTTCTTGTGGCACATGACTTCCTAAATGGTGGTATGGTTAAACAATCAAGTTGCTATGTAACTGCTATTTTTCACCAAAAATTTAATTGCTAAACAGATGATCACTAATTCCAGTTGTCTTAGATGGAGTTATTCTCTCAAACAATATCTAAAGTTTTATTTACAAATATATACTTGGCAGGGGAATGCAGGGGTTCCTTGATTGTGAGAGAAGATATCGTCCTAGAAAAAGCCAATTTAAAGTGAACCTAAATAAAATACAGATCACAGTGTCATAATACATAGTAGGGGTAAAAGTCTGATTGGAACTTTTATCTAAAATATAAAATGAAATATTAAGAAAATACACTAGTGAACAGAAGTTGGGTTGTAAATCTAACCATAAGCTAATTCTTAATCAATAATGAGTCACGTGCCAACTTTGGGACAAAAAAAAAATTTCCAACCAAACCGTATGACAGCACAACTTATTATCCTTCTCTTCAAATTTAATATCTGGATGATAAGTGAGATTTTGGCAAATTATTTTGTTTTTACTAATAGAAAAAAAAAATTTTGAATGAAAGACTGAGACTTCCACATCCCATCATGACTCACTCATTGGTATTGGATTTGCCCTTTTCTTTAACAATCTAGTAAACTAAACAAAACACGTGAGCCATGTTCAGGCACTGACAATAGGCAGTGAAGGACTGAGATTCCTGACAGTGGGAAAACACATGAGACAAAGCCCAAATTGACCCTGACCTCACTCTTCAGGACACTTTCCAGACCATGGTACTGGGAGATAGCACCCAAGCAGAGCACAGTGACCTCACTGAGCCAAGGAGCAGGGATGAATGTTTGGGGCAGCTGAAACAACTGGAATTTTCAGGCCTGAGATGCAGAGAAAACAGGGGCTCCAGAAGTCCATATGGAGTTTCTCTGAAGGTTAGGGCTTGGGTCTGGAGTGGGCAGGCCTACCAGTGAACAGCCATTCCAAAGCTAAGACATAATCAGAGAGGTCACTTTTATGGGAGTTGCTAGAGCTCCAGGCCAGCCAGAAAGGAGAAAACTTAATAACCCCATTGGACATTCATCTGAGATTCCAGAATTGCCACACTTCAGGAATAAGGGCCATACCCTAGAGTAGGTATCAGCAAACTTGTTCATAAAGGGCCAGAGAGTCAATAATTTTGGCTTTATGAATCATCTGGTCTCTCCTGCAATGCTTAACTAGGCCACTGTAGTTCAAAAGCAGCCATAGACAATATATAAATAAATGAGTGCAGCTGTGTTCCAATATAACTTTACTTACAGAAACCAAGGGAGGGCCCACAGGCCACAGTGTGCCCAACTCTTGCCCTAGAGTAAAGACCATGACCTAGAACTAAGTGTGAAACCAATATCGAAACACCCTAAAAAAATTTTTTTAAACCAGACCTGACGAGATCAAGGCATTCTTCTCATAAATAATCTGCCTTCCAGAATAAAATCCAACACCTTTTAAATGAAAGAAAAAAATAATCCACATTCCCTACATCTTAACATTCATGATGCCCAAGATACAATAAAAATTTACTAGGAATACAAAGAAGTGGGAAGGTATGACCCTTAATTGAGAAAAACGATAATCAAAAGAAACAGGGGCTTCCCTCGTGGTACAGTGGTTAAGAATCCGCCTGTCAATGCAGGGGACACGGGTTCGAGCCCTGGCCTGGGAAGATCCCACATGCCGCAAAGCAACGAAGCCTGTGCGCCACAACTGCTGAGCCTGCACTCTAGAGCCCGTGAGCCACAACTACTGAGCCCGCGTGCCACAACTACTGAAGCCCGCGAGCCCAGAGCCTGTGCTCCACAACAAGAGAAGCCACGGCAATGAGAAGCCTGTGCACCAGAATGAAGAGTAGCCCCTGCTCGTCGCAACTAGAGAAAGCCCATGCGCAGCAACAAAGACCCAATGCAGCCAAAAGTAAAAATAAATAAATAAATTTATTTAAAAAAATAAAACAAAAGAAACAGACAAGTATTTAAGACAGCTCTTCAAAATATAATCAACAACATCCAATAAAAGATAAATACAGTGAGTGAAGGGATGAGGAATCTCAACTATTTTAAGGGAAATAAGAACCATTCGTAAAACTAAATGTAAATTCTAGAACTGAAAATTACAATACATGAAATTGAAAATTCAACAGATGACCTTAAGATTAAGTTTGAGACTGCAAAAGAAATAGTCAATGACACAGCAACAGAAACTATGTAATCTGAAGTCTAAGAGAAAAAAAATTGGGAAAATAATAGAGGCTCAGTGACTTTTGGACAACATCAAGTGGCCTAACATACACGTAATTGGAATCATAGAAGGAAAAGAGGGAGAGAAAGGGGCAGAAAAACGTTACTGGTGAAATAGTGGTTAACATAATTCTCAAATTTGGTGACAATATCAACCTACAAATTCACGAAGCTCAGTGAACTTCAAGCAGAGTAAATACAAAGAAAAGCACACCATCACAGTCAAACTGTTGAACAGCAAAGATATAGAGAACATTTTATAAGTAGTCAGGGAAGTAAAAACACATTACATAGAAGGGAACTAACCATACAAAATACAGCTAATTTTTTTTTTATCACAAACAATGGAGAGATTCAGAGGTAATGGAACATCTTTAAAGCATGGAAAGGGAAAAGTAAAAAGCCCAGAGTCATACGTCCAACAAAATATTCTTCAAAACTGATGCTAAAATAAAGATATTTTTAGGTTAAACAAAAAAAAGCTGAGAGAATTTGTGAGCAGCAGACCTGCATTACAAGAAATGATAAAGAAAATTTTACAGGATGAAAAAAATAATACTGGATAAACATGCCAACCTATATACAGGAGGAAAGAGAACCAATAATGGTAAATATGTAGATAAGCATATTTTTAACTCTTAAGTTTTTTAAAAAAACAATTGATTTTTTTTTTAATTAATTATTTTTGGCTGTGTTGGGTCTTCGTTGCTGCGTTAGGGCTTTCTCTAGCTGTGGCAAGCAGGGGCTATTCTTCATTGTGGTGCGCGGGCTTCTCATTGCGGTGGCTTTCCTTGCTGTGGAGCACGGGCTCTAGGCACACAGGCTTCAGTGGTTGTGGCTCGCAGGCTCTAGAGCAGAGGCTCAGTAGTTGTGGTGCACAGGCTTAGTTGCTCTGCAGTATTTGCGATCTTCCCAGACCAGGGCTCGAACCCGTGTCCCCTGCACTGGCAGGCAGATTCTTAACCACTGCACCACTAGGGAAGTCCCATCAATTGATTCTTTTTAAAACATTTCATTGTATTATTGGGTTTATAATGTGTTCCTAAATATAATATATAATCATAGCTCAAAGATGAGGGTGCAAAGGGAACTACACAGTGTAAAACTTTACATATTACATAAAACTTACATATTATATAAAAGTACAATAATAATGCTAATAACACTTTAAGAATAGATATTGTAATTTGTGGCCTTTGTAAGATATCTGAAGATATAAAAACACTAACCATAACAGAAAACAGTGATAAACTGTACTTTTTCAAATGTTAAACTTCTGTTTATCACAGGACACCACTGAGAAAATGAAAAGGCAAAAGCTACAGACAGAAGGAAATATTACACCCACATACACGTATTTCTGCATGCATATGTGTATATGTATATATGTTAAATATTATGTAAATATATTCATGACATGCTCTCATGTCTAGCATACACAAAGAACACCTACAGCTCAATAATAAAGTGACCCCCCCAAAATAGCAAATGGGTAAAACATTTTGACACTTAACACACACACACACACACAAAACATATGGACAATGGACAGACATGAATAGTGCTCAACACCTTTATAAAGAAGGGAAATGCAAATAAAAACCACAAGGAGATATTATTTCTCATACACACACTTAGAAAGACTAAAATAAAACAAGACTTGACAATACAAATGTTGGTAAATATGTACAACAACTAGAGTTCAAATGCACTGCTGGACTCTAATGCTACAACCATTTTGAAAAGCTCTTAGTCAGTTTCTTATAAAGGTCAATGAACCTCTTTCCATATGACCCAGGCAACTAAAAAGAAGTAAAAAGAATACAATATTGGGGGCTTCCCTGGTGGCACAGTGGCTGAGAGTCTGCCTGCTAGTGCAGGGCACACGGGTTCGAGCCCTGGTCTGGGAAGATCCCACATGCCGCGCAGCAACTAGGCCCGTGAGCCACAACTACTGAGCCTGCGCATCTGGAGCCTGTGCTCCGCAACAAGAGAGGCCGCGATAGTGAGAGGCCCGCGCACCACGATGAAGAGTGGCCCCCGCTTGCCACAACTAGAGAAAGCCCTCGCACAGAAATGAAGACCCAACACAGCCAAAAATAAATTAATTAATTAAATTTAAAAAAAAATGAATACAGTATTGGGTGGACAGAAAAAAGGAAGAAAGGAAAAAAGGAGGGAGGGAGGAAGGGAGATAAGCGAAAAAGTAACAGGCTGAAATTTACACTGAGACAGTTATACTCAATACACTGAAAAATTTCTGCTTATCAATCTCTTTAATGAATAAACAATTCCAAATTTACTGGAATTAGAAAAAGAAGTCACACAATATCTCCTGCCCACCAAGACAAAGATCTGAGATCTCATAACATCCTACTACTACCTTCCCCTAAGGAACTCTTTTATTTAAAAAAATTGAATTAAATTATACACACACACGTTTCCCCCGTTACACAAAAGTACAGTGTTCCTATGAAACCTTTTGTAAGCTGAAATGGCGCAAAGCAAAGAAGCAATTACCTTAGGACACATCTTACTAATGGATTTACAAAATAAATCAAGATAAAGCATAGATCCCAGACACAGTTCAAAGTTATGATGGCTTGATGCTGAGATGCTGCATGTAGTTCCAGGAAAGAGCTTGGTGGTGCCACTCTTGCTGCCCATGGTGCACACTGCCGCTATGACAGCCTCCCTTGCTGCAAAACCAATGGTGAACAGTATTTTTGCTTTTTGCCCTTTTTTTTTTTTTTGTAAAAGTGAAAATCCTCTTCAGATTTCTTTGGGTTAGCAAAAACAGGCACTAATATAGGTTTTTCATAAAAGCGAAATGATATAAAGCAACCTTGGGAAAAGCAGGGGATGCTTGTGTGTGTGTGTGTGTGTGTGTGTGTGTGTGTGTGTGTGTGTGTGTGTGTGTGTGTGTGTATACATACAT